CTGTGGAGTTTAAACAAAACAAAACAAAGCCCAGTTTCCTCCCAGCCTGGTTAAATCAGGCTCCTTGGGGGTGGGCCCTGGGGAATGGGCATTTTTTTTTTTTTTTTTTTTACATTTTTTTGATGATGGCCATTCTGACCGGTGTGAGATGATATCTCATTGTAGTTTTGATTTGCATTTCTCTAATGATTAGCGATGTTGAGCATCCTTTCATGTGTTTGTTGGCAATCTGTATATATCTTATTTGGAGAAATGTCTGTTTAGGTCTTCTGCCCATTTTTGGATTGGGTTGTTTGTTTTTTTGATATTGAGCTGCATGAGCTGCTTGTAAATTTTGGAGGTTAATCCTTTGTTAATTGCTTCATTTGCAAATATTTTCTCCCATTCTGAGGGTTGTCTTTTCATCTTGTTTATGGTTTCCTTTGCTGTGCAAAAGCTTTGACGTTTCATTAGGCCCCATTTGTTTTTGTTTTTGTTTTTGTTTTTTTTACAGTACGTGGGCCTCTCACTGCTGTGGCCTCTCCCGTTGCGGAGCACAGGCTCCGGACGCGCAGGCTCAGCGGCCACGGCTCACGGGCCCAGCCGCTCCGCGGCATGTGGGATCTTCCCGGAAGGGGGCACGAACCCGCGTCCCCTGCATCGGCAGGCGGACTCTCAACCACCGCGCCACCAGGGAAGCCCTGGGAATGGGCATTTTTAAGAGCTCCCCAGGTGGTTCTAACGAGTGACCAGGGTTGACACCTGAGGCCTGCTTCTTCTCCAGATTCTGCAGTGCATGGAGAGGGATGCCAGCCCCGGGATGCCAAGATATGTAGATTTTTCTGCAGAAAACAAACAAACAAAAATCTGGACGTGAAATCCCCAATTTTCAAACGTTGAGTTGTTGTTTTGGCTTTTAATTACATTTAAAGTGTGTTTTAAAAACCATTATTTTTTATTATAAAAGTAATATTAGGTTTATGGTGGAAAATTTGGAATATACAGTGAAATGTAGAGAAGAAAATGAAAGTCACCTATAATCTTAACTGCCCCTCGGGTTCTGAATACGGAATGATTCCAGGACGTTCTGAAAGAAAGTTCCCACTTCAATACGCTGGGGGAAAGGGGCCCCCCCCCGGAGTCTTTTCCTGCGGAAACAGAGTTCCAATTCTTGAAAGCCTGGACATTCAACACCTTTAAAAGGCTGGTCTCTTAGACCTTTGATGCTTGTCAGAGACAGACTTTGAGAACCCACCTTATTTTTTAGATCAATATTTCTTCTTCCTAATACATAATAACAAAAATTACAATCAGAAAGAAAGAAATCTTTAGGGAAGAACCTCTGCTGTCCAGTGGAGACAGCGCTGGAGGTGAAAAAAAGACCTCTTGCTAAGATCGCATGTGCCCTCTGGTGGCAGCTGGAGGGGATGGCTTTACAGGGCCATCAAGTCAGTGGTTCTCAAAGTGGGGTCTCAGGACCCAGGCTCAGCTGGACACTTGTCAGGAGCAACTTTTCAGGCCCTACCTCAGTTCTTTTGAATCAGAAACTCTGAGTGTGGGACCCAGCAATTTGTGTTTTAACAAGCCATTTAGGCACTTCCGATAAGCCCTAAAGTTTGAGAACCATTGTTCTAGATAAGTACAGGCCTGGTACCAGATAATGTGTCAAAACAGCACAAGCTCTGAGGACAAAAGGGAAGGAAATGGTGAAGGCGCTGGTGCTGGACAAACACCTCCTCAACGTCCCTGCCCACACTCGGCCCCATCTCCCTCTCAGCCCTGAGGTATCTGGAGGCTGCAGAGTTGGGGAACAGGGGCAGAATGGACCACTGCCCAGAGTAAACCCATCCAGGCTTCTTGGATGGGGCTTAAAAGGCCACACCACATTGTGTGAAACTAAGCCTTGGATTCTTAGGACAGAGATCAGAGGTATAAGGGCAGGGTGATTCCAGAACCCTAGCAAGCCCATCCTGAGGGGATGCAAGACTTGAACTTCAGGCAGAGGCAGAGGAATGAAAAGCAAAAACTGAGGTAGGAATAAAGCAGGAACAAAGTAAGCCCCAGGAAGGAGGGGGCTGAGAAAAGAAGTGTGCTCCCCTTGGGCAGATGGATCAGTCTTTAACCAGATACCTTCCTGGTGGAAATGCTTTATAATTCGATTACTGTCAGAATGAAAAAGCCCCACATTGACTCAAGATGCGGCCGGCGGTGCTGGCACTTGGGGAAATCGGGTCTGAGGCTCCAACTGGATAGAAAACGCCTAGGCCCCCAGCAGGTTCCCTGCAGCGAGGCTTCCCTGACAGAGAAGTGATGGTTTTCAGGGCATCCAGCTGTTTAGGAAATCTCTGCACCTGGCAAAATCAAGCAGGAGCTTGTAGAGAAAATCTGACAAGAAAAACGAGGTTTCAGCAGAAACCAGAGACAGGCAGATGGAAGCTGTCATGGTAAATAAGCCACTTCAAACTTTCTCCTCCCCTAGAAACAGTTCTGTGTATACTGTCATTCTAACAGTAGTATTAAAGAGATGCTCTGATTCAGTTAAGACATGGTATTTCGGGTTACATGTCCAATCTATTAATTAACTTTATTCATTCAGTAAGTATTCACTGAGCACCTACTGTGTGGCAGTCATTGCTCTAGGTTCTGGGGTTAAGTGGAAAACAGACGAAAATCTCTGCCCTCGAAGAGTTGACATTCTAATGGCGGCGAGGGGAGAGATAATAAACAAAAGAGGCAAAATGTGTAACACTTTGAGTTCTTCATCTCCAGCTTGCCCCTCAAAAATTAAGCTCTTGTTCTGAATTTTCAAAGCTGAACTAGGAGAGTGACAGTGTTGAGAGTCTTCGGGTTAGAAAAGTCAGCTCAGGCAGGGCTTCTAAACAAGTCATATGCAACTGAATCACCCGGAGACATTGTTAAAGCGCAGATTTAGATGGGGGCCTGGGGAAGAGCTCCCAGGTGCTGATGCTGCAGGCCCACAGTGCGCACCACACTGCTGAGGAGCCCACTTGGGAGTCAGGCTACGGGGATGGAGCTGGCCCGGAATGCAGACTCCCAGCCAGACAGGCCTCCCGGCCGCTCCCTGCTGGAGCTCCAGCTCCTAACCTCAGCAGAGGCCCTAGGTAGTTCACAGAGCACTCCTCTCCTTGATTTCCACAGCAACTCCTTCCGGCAGGCTAGGCAGCCAGGAACAATACTCCTTCTTAAAGGGGAGGAAACAGCACCTACCCCAGGGAAGTTGTGCTGGTAGCAAAGCTGGGAGCAAACTCCCGTCTCTGTCTAGAGGGCTTTGCCTGGCCTAGAACAGACTAGGGCCTTTAAAGAGGGGAGATGCTGCAGGCTTGTGAAGAAGCCAGCACAGCGGCAAACACCACTGACAGTCACAGAAAATCAGGCATTTACGGGGCTCAAAGGGCCTTGAACCTAAACGATCTAGTTGCTGTGGCCCACCTGAAAACAGTTTACTAGGTGGCCTTCACTGAATTGGCTTTGGGGTGGGTTTCCAGTTTACCTGTCTGTCTCCCTCTGGCGTGATGTGAATTTCACAGGAAGCAATCTGACAGCAGCTGTTAGAGATGTTCAGCCCTTCCAGGTGGCTTGCCATAGCCTGACTGATGCAGCCAGGTGAGCCTGGGGACCTGGGATGGCAGGAGAAAGGACTATTCCCTTTCTTTAGGCTGGGAGCCATGAGGAATTACTCATTCTCATTTTGTAGGATGTCTTGGAAAGATGATCACAGAGGGAATGGGCACACAACAGCTATTTCCTTATGTCAAGTTGGGAGACGTCAACAGAGGTTATTCGGCCAGCCAAAACACACTCAGCTCACGCTTTCTGTAAATATTTAACCATCCAGAATGGCAAACACTGCTTTAGGGCATGTCATTGATACTGCACTAAGACGGAACCATTTCATGATGGGCCTAGAGTAACAAAGACAACTGGAGATCTCCTTGGTGGAAAAGAACATGACAATGAGAATGCTTTGGGCAGACACATTCCTTCAGGGAGGGCCAAGGCAAAAGCCAAGCCGCCTAGCCAAGGCGTTTCCCCTGAGGAACTCTGCTCACGGTATTCAGTGTGGTATGTTTGCAAGAGCCTAAATGGCTGAGACTCAGGAAGGCTATCCTGCAATAGGGACGGGGCTGAGGTGCCAAGAGCAGAATTTTCCGAAACCGGAGCCAAGATCAATTGTAACAATGGCCAAGAGAGGAAAACAGAGGCCGAGAGGGGCAGCTGGCTTCTCAGAGGAAGAAAACAGACAAAGCCTCTAGAAACAAGGGAGGACTACAGAAGCGGTTACCTTGGAGATCAGTTCAGGATCTGCAGCAGACAGGAAACCTAATAGGGTATTGGTCACAAACTGGCCTGACAAGATTCTGGAAAATGGAAATTTGCTCTCAAAAATTTCTCACCAGCTACCTTCCAACCCCACCCATAACCTGCTTTTTTTTTTTTTTTTTTTTTTTTTGCGGTACGCGGGCCTCTCACTGTTGCGGAGACGCCCAGGCTCAGCGGCCATGGCTCACACTCTGCGGCACGTGGGATCTTCCTGGACCGGGGAACGAACCCGTGTCCCCTGCACTGGCAGGCGGACTCTCAACTACTGCGCCACCAGGGAAGCCCCTAACCTGCTTATTTTAGGAAAGGAGGATTGTACCAGAAAACAAGGCAGTCTTGGTTCTACTCAGATGACAGAGAGAAAGGAAAAGGGAGGGAGGGAGAAAAAGGGAAGGAAAGAGGGAGGGAGGAAGGAGGGAAGAGGAGGGAGGGGGAGGAAGAGGGAGGGAGAGAGAATGAGAATGGATACATCTGAAGTAAGACTAGAACGAAAACTACTTGAGAGCCTGGATGGATTCATCCCAAATCCTGTAACCTGCGCCCCGCAGCACCCGTTGCCCGGGACACTGCCACTGTCAGGGTTCGGAAATGAGGACAGAACAAGAGTGAAAATCTACGGCCCATTCAGAACAATCTACCTTCTTGTGCCCTCCTGAAAAGTTAAAAAGGCAGAAAACTAGTTTTATCTGTAAGAAAATGTTTATTCTTTTGAACCCCACAGGAAAAAAAAAAAAAAAAGGAATGCAGCCAAGACCAAGTATTTAACCAAAATAGTGTCCCAAAAGGCAGCAAAATGGGGGAAACCTCAACACAAAGTCAGTGACAATTTTCCATGTTTTTGCACAAAGATGAAAAAAATCTGTGACAATTCTGAGTAACACTTCCATGGTGACAATTACACAAGATGATTCAAAAATGCAAAATGGCAGCAACATGCATACCTGGCTAAAGCTAGAAGGTTTTAATCCCAAAACAAGATCAGTGATTAAAAAGGAAGATTCTTTTTAACACTTCTATTTTGCTGACTTGCTTGTCCTACTTAATTTGCTTTAAATGAGACATACATGCCAATTAACAGGAAATTTTAGAACTATGTCCTTCCAGAATCCATGGCAAGGAAGTCAAACCATTCTATTTGGTTTCTTAATTTTCCTAGGTTCCAAATACAATTTTGCTTTGCCCCTCCCTCTCCCAGCCCCTCCCTCCACCCCCTCCCTGATTCTTAAACACTTCCAAAGGTTGCCAGTGCAAACACTTTTCTACCAATGTATAATATATACTTGAGACTGAAATCTTTGTGCAGAGTTTTGAGTTTTAAACTCTTTAAAAAAAAAACCAAAACAACAAACCTTCCTTGGCACAAGAGCTGAGGAATTGTCAAGTTTCTTTTAAATCGTCAAACACAAGATGACGAAAAGTGGAAAGCACAGTTAAAGGAAATTAAAAAAAAAGAAAACAAAACAAAACCTAGAACTGCAGCTTTTATTAGCCGGCATTGCAGTCTCTCGAACACAAACACCGCCCAGCTCCCCTTCCCAGGGTGCTTGCCTCGAGACAAGTCCAGAACACTGTGGTGCTTTCAATGAAAGGAAACAGAAGGTGTGGCTGAAGTGGTACCGAACAGCCCAGCTACCCACCAGTTCTATAGCAGGATCCGCAGTGAGCTTGACACAGAGAGAAGGTAGATGATGGTAAAGGGGGAAATTGTTTAAAATCAAGTTTCCTCTTGAAATGTCTTTTCCCAAGGCACTGTGAACAAGACTGCTGCTAGCAATTTTCTAGGACTAAACACACCAATGGGAAGATACACATTTCAGACACAACCCCTGTTACATTCCCACAGCTGGTCTCATCACCTGAGTCTCTCCCCTCGGCTGAAATGACACTCCTTGAATTTGTTTGGTCCTTGGAGGGGTAATCAATTTTTGTTTTCTGTAATTTTAGTAATCATTTTCTTTAATGCAGCTATAGCATCAAAGTTGTGTTAGGTTATTTAAACCTTTTACACTAAAAACTAAGTTTTCATTGTCATCCCATGTGAATCCAATGTGCAGGTTTTGCTTGCTGATTTAAGAACAAAACAAAACAAAAATTAAGGGTTGAGAAGGAAAAACTCTTTTTTTTTTTTTTCTTCAAGAGGAAACTGTAAGAATACATAAAAGGCAAAATTGGCTACTTGAAATCCAAGAATGGTTTTAATGTAATGGCCGAGAAAAATAAACTGCAAAGTTCTGTGAGGTCTTCTAAAAACTTACAAGAAAAACTGGTGGGCAGTTCTAATCAGACTTGGATGTTATCTTTCCCCCCCTTTTTAAAAATGACAACATATACAGTCCCACAAAATACAATATAAACTTTTTTTAATCTTGACTGCCAGAGACGCTCCTTTGTGATGCTTTCTGATAACCAAAGCCTGGAAAAAACACACTGCTGGCCTTCATTTCTTCAGGGGCTGGTAAACAGAGGCATTGGGATCGAGTCCAGAGGGGCTGGTCTCCACAAATTTGGAAGAGTAGTGTGGGGAAACGGGGCTCAAGGGGCTGGTGGCAGCACTGTATGTTATGCTGGGCATGACGGCCATGACTTCGGCTATCTTCTGTTTTAGGTCCTTGATTTCCTGGTCTTTCTGAAGAATTTGTCCTGGAAGATCAAAGACCCACCATTAGTGAGAAGGGAGCGTTCACCCACCACAATGCCCTCTTGGGCCCACTGATCCCAAATGGATTCGACTCCAGCTTTGATGGTTTGTAAGGGGAGACACATTTTTCCTGTAATGTGCCAAACAGTAAATATTTAAGCACTGTGAGGCACATACTGTCCTTGTCTTTTTTTTTTTTTTTTTTTAATTTTAAACCATAGAAAATGGCAAAAACCATTCTTAGCCCACGGGTGGTACAAGAAAAGGTGGCAGGCCAGATGTGGCCTACGGGTCATGGTGTCAAGAGGAACTGCGTTTAGGCAGGTGTGACGAAGCAAAGAGCTCAATCTCCAGGAGCCACATTTTGAGCTCGGCAGTCACCAGGGCAGCCGAAGAGGGTGCTTCTTTTGAACTAGGGCTCTACCTCTTGCACGGAAACATTTTTCTGGCAGGATGGGCTATCTCGGAGTATCAGACCAAGGAATCCAACCAGTTCCTGCCTGCCGCAGGGCCGCTTCCCTTTCTGTGCTTCTCCAATGCTCTCTGTGCTAACTCGTGAGGTTTCTGTTTCTATTCCCTCACAAAGCTTTCCCTGCTCCTTCCATCTAAATCAGACCCTACCCCCAGCCCCCGACTCCTCGATTCTCAACACACCCTAAACTTTCCTTTCTGTCACTTTATTCTTTGTAATAATGATAATAATTACAATAGCTAACACGTATGTGCCAGGCACTGTTCTAAGTGCTTACGTAGACTAACTCATTTATTTATCACAACAACCCTATCAGATGGGAATTATCATCATCATCATCCATTTTATACATGAGGAAACCAGGGCACAGAGAGGTTGAGTGACAGAGCTGGGATTCAAAATGATGCAGTTTGGCTCTGGAGTCTGCACTCCTGCCGACTGCATTTTTCTGTCTCCGGTGAGTATTCATTTGGGTGATGATTTGTGTCCATCATCTCTCCACTGGCCCATGAGCTCCATGAGGGCTGAGACTGTCTCCCCATTTTTGTCCTTGCCAAATCCCTAGTGCCCAGCCCAGTGGAAAGCTGAGGCCCTGCAAGGTATGTATCTTGCCCAAAGTCATTCAGTTATCAATGACTAAGCAGGATTTAAACCCAGGACCACTTTGTTCCAAAGCCCGTGCAATTTCCATCATGCTTTGATGCTCCCTGGTCTACTAGGGGAAGAGCACTTAGGAGTAGCCCTTCAGAAATTTAAATGCTGAAAAAAGGAAGAGCTTGTATTTGAGGTGCACTCACTTTGAGTCCTACAGAAGACAGTATTATATTTAAAATGTAAGAGAGCATGGTGGCATATTTTAAAAAATGATATAGTAGGTGAAAGCCATTTTGGAACCAAGATGAATCAGATGATATAGAAAGTAGGAAGGAGAAACCCAGCAAGGGGCTTGATGTAAATTATGAAGTTGGGTTCTTATGAGAATATTCCAAGCATGAGCATGACAGTGGAGGGGAGTAGTGGAAAAGGTGGCAGCAAAGAGTCGCCCCACTCTGGCTTCCTTCATGTCCCCTCAGCTTCAGGTAAGCATCAAATATCCTCCTTCCCTTTGAACGAAGTAAGCCTCAGACGAATAAAATACCTAACAGCATCTGATATACAAGCCACTGTATCTTTTTTCCATGAAGATTTAAGTTTGATTTCTTTAATCAGTAACATACAAACATTCCCAGAGCTTTGGAAAAGACAGTTCTCTTTGCTTTACGAGAATTTCTGGGCCAACAAGGAAGCATAATCTGCGCTGGGAAGCCAAGCTCCCCTCGGCTACGCTGAGACCTGGGTGTTGCTTCACTCCAGCAGACAACCTCTTTCAAGTCTGCAAATCCAAGTAAAGGGGATGAGGCAGAGAGAGGGTAGCCACTTCTCAGGGAGCTGAGCCAGGCAGGCAAAACACCAGCGTATGGTCAGAAGTTTAGCAGGATCCCCAGGAACCTTCTTTTTTTTTTTTTTTTGGGG